TCCAGCAGTGATAGCTGCCTGTGCTTTGACATCCATAGCAAGAATAAAACCATCATCATAGAAGAATAAAAAAAAAGTCTTAAATTTTGTGTTGTGATTATGCCTTTTTTTTTCCAAATATATCGTGCAATGTGTATAGCAACAGAAGCCAAATTTTTTTAATATTCAAGTTTTCATCAATTTTGCCATTTAACAAAATAAATGTGATTTAATTGAAGAATGAACAAGAATAATAACCTGTTGCTCTCCTGATTGTCCTATAAAAGCAATCGGTGCGACAGTCCTTAATTTGAAATAATCTTTTACTTGCAAATGACCTGTTACAAGTGAGGTGAACTATTCAGCATCAGTTCGGTGATGAAGTGGAAGTTCAGGGTTTACTTCAGAAATGTCTCAAATATGAATCGAAAAGGCACATTGAAACATTTATTAAGTTTCCTTCTGCTGTCATAAAGTCTTTAAGGCAGTTCTGGGCATTATCAGCTGTTGTAAGTTAGCAGTGCCCAGAACTGCACGAGAACAGAACTGAAATACATGTGTATTGCAGTTAAGTCTTTCGTATGAAAGACTTGCATCCAGTAAGACAGCCTTAACTCCTTGCATTTATTGTTGGCTGAAGTTGTTACGCGCTGTCTCTGTTTGTGTAGAATTTAGAATGTATTTTCTTGTTCTAAACCAGAAATATCATTCGATAAGATCTTCATAGGCAATGAGTATCTGCTGTATCGGAATTTCAGGAATATTGGGATAGTTGTTTGTTTGCAATCTGTTAATTATAAAAATTAAAGCAGGTAATAGAACTTAAAATATAAACCAGAATTTTTTCTTAGGAATCGGAAGAAACAATATTGGGTGCAGAATTTTCAGTGCAAAGTCTCCGATATCCGATAAGGTATGGCTAATAGTCTCATAGAAAGATAAATTTTTTTCTTTCTGCCTTATCAGATTGGGCAGTTGCATTTTTAAAACAACTGCGTTGAACGTGCTAGTAATTTGTTTCCAAAACTTGGAACTTGACAAGAGAGCATGATAAACTCTCCAGTTTCTTGAGGGCTTCACCAGTTAATTATATCTTTTGACTTGAGGAGACTTCTGCTCAATAGTTCTTATTTTTCTGTATTGTTTGAATCCAAGAAAAAGGGTGCAAATTTGAGTAATAATCACCAAATCTGTGCTGGGTTTTTTAACTAGTAAAAATGGTCTCGTAGGTCAGCATTTTTAGTGTTTTACAGTATTCTTTGCAAAATTCTTGTTATGGTTGCTATGCAGGCAGTTCCTCGTGTAAATCTTGATGTAGACCAGGCGCTGAAGGAAGACCAGGAAGCAAGGATGGGCAACCGCGCTCGGTGTCGGCACCGGCAGCCCAAGCTGATGGGCTGTGCGCGGCTCTGCGCTTCCGAGTGCGGAAACTGCTA